AGCAGGCAGGAACTTGGATGAAGTCAAGGAAAGACACACTTCACACCTGGCTGAACAAACCCACGTCTGTCCCCCCTCCATAGGTGTCTTAAGTGTCCTTGACCCCATGGTGAACGTGGGACAAATAACAGTGGGGCAAGAGAGTACAACAGCCTGTCAGGGATGATTTTGTGATGAAAGGGGTATAGTAATTTTTCTTTGACTTCAGAAATATTTTATATGCTCATTTGCTTTCTCTTTATTTTTAAAAAAAAACTATTTTTTAACTGAGTGATTTTTCTTCATTAGCAGTACATGTGTGTATAAAATCTTTGAGTTCATAGCCCAGACATAATTGCTATTATTTTGTCATACTATTTTTCCCTTGTCATTGACTAGGGTGCATCCAGATTTGGTGGTTGAAGAGTGATTGAGATTCTTCTGCCTTGTTGTGTATGCTTTAAGGTGTTGTACTTACCCAACACGTAAAAGCTTGACGTCTGCCATTATGGCACCAGATTCCTTTGACTGAGGAGCTGTGAGCCAACACACTGAGACACTGAGGTTTGTAGCAGAGAAAGGGTTTATTTGAGAAGCAAGCAAGCAAGGAGGCAGGAGAACAAGTCTCAGCTCTGCCCCCCAGAAGGAAAGGTGCTTGGGATATTGATGGGACACAGAATCAGGGTGGCCTTAGGCTTTGAGAAAGAGTTGTTGAAAGTGAGGAAAAGGTGAGCTCATTGGTGTCTCAGCAGGGATACCAGAGTTCCATGTTTCCTCATGGGACACATGTGCAAATTCATGGGGAGTTGGTGTGCAACAAGCAGGCTGTGATATACATAGGTCACCCATGGGACAGTCAAGTTTGTTCTGCTCAGAGTCTGATAAGCCATATTGGTTCCAGTGTTTTCAGTCACTTTGGTTGTATTACAAGAAGAGGGCTTAAAAAAAATTTTAAAAAAGCTGTCCCTTTCTCTGCTTTTCTGTAAGATGAGCTCAAGATTAGTTAGTCACCAGTTTCTGTGACAGGTTTTTAACCATCAGGGATGTGGTTTCATCACCACATCTGTGTGTCAGAAGGTAGGAAGGGAGAGGAAGGCAGATGGGCTAGAGTCGCAAAGATCCACGGCCAAGACTCTCCCAGAGCACGTGCTCTGGCGCACGTCCTGTCCGCGGACATGCTCAGCTGCACGAGCAGCTAGGTGAGTATCGTCCATAGCCAGACGGCCACAAGCTCACTTTGCAAAATACACTGATACAACATTTGAGCTGCAAAGCATATTATAACTAGAAGTATATGCAGCACAGTCGGGACAGATTTTTCTAGAATCCTGAAAGCAAACTTGGCATATTTAAGACTTGAATCCAAGCTGGTAAAATGACCATGGCCCTATAATTCCTGAGCCACCATGATTGATTTAGGGAGAGATGTGGCACATGACCCAAGACCAAACAAAGTTAATCCTTTCTCAGTTACTTGGATCCAAAGGATTTGTCTCCCTTCCTCTCTCTCTCTGTCTTTTCTTTTTCTCCAGGTCTTGGTCTTGTTTGGCTCTCAAGCTCTCTTCTCTTCTGTTTCTGTTAACTTTTCATTGTTGACAATGAGGATGTGACGATGTGTTCTGAGATGAAGACTGTAAGGGCACTTAGATATGTTTGGCTTTAAAACAAGACAGATATTTATTTACAGAGGGGGAAATTAATTTGTACTCTTATTTCAGCTTTCATTTTCTGTACTTGCTTCAAGAAAAATACTTTAAGAAATTGTATTCCATAAGTCTTAATTCTCAAAAGTATAATATTGGAAAAGGATGAATGATTGAAATCAGTTCCTACCTTAAAGGCCGTCAGGGAGGCTGATTTACATGCAATTAAGTGTTTTCATTGTCTATTACTTTAACTCCAGAAAAAGCATCTACCATCTTATTTTAGACATTGTGCTTATTTGTCACCTAGTGCATTCAGCTTGGTGTCTGGTGAGAATCCTGTCAGAAAGAGTCTCATTTTCCCATCCTGCTACTCAGAGTTTAGTGAAGGAACAC